CGTATTGAGGCCTGACAACTCTGCTATAGTTGTCACTCAATCAGACGAGGATTTGTGATTGATAATATCTACTTTTCTCTTTCGTATACTCATCATCAAACTCATTGGGAGATAGTAAAGAACTCGCGAGATTACAAGGTATCTTAGTGACACGTCCGATATTCGATTCTGATCTGTGATGATAATTGCGAAGTCCGTATTTCTGAAGCTCGATACATTTCGAGTATCTTACGTGCTTCAGGGGTTTTTATTTGGATCATAATCTTCGGTCTATTCCGTCAGTGACGGACCGTCACTATAACTCCGATATTAATACTTCGTACGAGTACTATTTCCCGGCCCACTATTCGATTAAATACTTTTTCATGGGACCTTGACGGAGATGGGTTCAGTTTATAGCGGCGAAACACCGAGTGAAGTCTACAACAGGCTGTTGGCGACAGTTGCTAATGATTCAGTCAGCTCTGGATAGTGTAACATCGCTACGACAAAGACCATCCGGACATGAGGAAGCTTCCTGTGACCCACAACTATATTCGATCTATTATCTGCACTATTAACGAGTCCATCCTTACATTCCACGGCCTTAGTGGCATCCCTATAATACAGTTGTCTATAATGATAATAGTATAATCACTAGCAACAATACGTTCACTATAATATCATCATTGTAGATTTTAACATTGAGACGCGTGGAATGGTGGCCGCATTGGCCACAACCACAATCGACCCCTTGGAAACCGTACGGCCGTGAGACAATCGCATGTGGCTGGGAGGTGTCCATGGAATACCCATAATACCCAGGAGCAACTTGTGTCGTCGGCGAGCGAAGTAGCTCTGTTACAGTATTACACACGTACGAACACCAAAAAACATCTAGGAGGCATGTCGTAGCCTGTACCACATACCTTGTAGTGAGTAACTCTTCGAGAGTCTACCTTTTCCGCTCCGTATCAGTAGGGTATCAATGACCCGGTCACGTGTGACACCACTCCTGTTACTCATCCAGAGTCAGTTCTCCCAGACATTAACAGTTCAGCGATAGGGCTCCATCTATGATATGAAAAGTTATCGAGAATAATATTCCACATCGCATTGATGAGCACAAGTAAATTCGTGATAAATGATTACTAAGTCATCGAGTCATTACGACTCAATTTGATAACAGCGGGCTTGTTAGTTACGCCGCATCGAGACTCCAAGAGATTCACAACACTACTATTAGTGACTACTATCGGGCCGTTCGAAAACGTCATAATACACAGTAGGCCTGGTGGGCACCCATCAGCAAGGAAGGTAGAAATATATATACAAAGAAACTGGTACTGAACAGGAACACACACACCGCATCACGGCATCGTATCAGCTGCAAATACTTCTATATAGCGCCGGTGAAATCTGGACAGTCCGGTATGTTCACTTCAGTGGATCTGTGCTCGCTTTTATTGGACAGGTTCTCATGCCGGACCTGCCATGCATCGACACTTTATGTGGTACAGTTGTATTATATTTTCCGAAGAAGTCTCAAAAAGCTGGTATTATATTTTCGACCCTCTTATCGTGGATTCCACATAAATGACGGAGTATCACATACTACCACAATCTTTTCTGAAGTACCATAAAACACGCAATTTAAATGCCCAATTCCGTGTGGCAACCGCAACCCCTCAACTGCTGCTCATATCAACCTTAAATTTTGAACATAAACCCTCCCAACATCATTATACTGTTAAAAGAGGACATTTTATGCTCTTTCCCATCTGGTGCTATGTACAGCGTTGAGCTCACTAGATTCTAGTAGACTCCGTAGAACTACTCTCTCCTCAGCTACTGCCTACCCTCGTATTGTCTATTCCCGCAGCACTCGTCTCCTCCACTACTGGTTGTGTTAGTCGCGCAACTGCTCCCCTCAGCTGATCTGATGCTTGGACGGCAGTTAGTCGTCCTTGAGCTATCTCCAAGTTTAACATACCAACAATCTGAAACCCCCTTCATCGAAATATCCAATTTTGAGAGTTTCAGTAACATCATCGGTTCTTGTTACATGTATGGACAGATATTTCCGTTACATCGATGGAAGCGTTTCATAAATCTCAAGTAAATTACAAAGTCGCCGATTCTCAGCTCGAAACAGCCGAGACACGCGAGAAGGACCGTTTCGAAATCAGCCACACTTGCATGCAACACTCTTCGCTGAGGAACTAACAACTGGTTGAGTATTACATTTTTCTTCCAAGTGCTGGTATCATTCCTCCAATCAGTGGCTGCTAGCCTATCAATATGCTTAGACATCACAGCTTCTCCTAAACCAAGACTAATGGGAGAGCAAACAGAATATAACGACTCTTTATAGACCTAATACCCATCACTCGCAGACAAAATAATAAAAACGTAACAGACACTCTACCCAATAGAACTACTGAGGTTTGCCGGAAGGTTCGGAAACCTTTTCATACATATATACATGTGAAACCCGAATGCTTCCGTACATATACCAAGCCTTAGCCTCAATTCGTAGCTGCTGAATTCACAGCAATGCTCCTATACTGCCTAGTGAGAGAAGCACTATTATATATAAAATGAAGGTTTGCGAAACAGTGCCAAGCAGCGTTGTAATTGCAAACAGTGCCTTTGATTATACTACACCCTTATCCTGCCTAACAGTTCTTATCGGCCTCCCATTCCTCATCAGTTGCTCCAACTGTTATATTTCCATCCATCACTCGAGATAGACTACTATATATAAATTCCTACTCGAACATTCTGGAAATATTAATTCTGCCGTCAGTGAAACACATATACGAAATTATAATACAACGTGATTTCAATACTAGAGTTACCGATCTTATTTACTATATATACGATAATACTTGTATCACGCATCCTCTCAGACGGTAGGTAAATTTCAAACGCACTCATGTTACTGGTGAATAGAGCCTCAAAACAACTCACCAGCTTGCGCCTTCTTCGCAGAGAAATCCGTTGCGGCCTTCTCTAATCTCCGTCCTACTGTCATCCCAAAACCACTGATTGAATAGCTCATACGCTGAGTATATATAGTTTTCCTAAGACAAGATCAAAACTCTTCCTGGTGTTCGGGTGTTCCCGAATTTGAAATTTTCGCGTTAATTGCTATCTTATTACCCTCTGTGATAGACACCGTGTCAGAAAACCATCGAGTGAAGATCGTCAAGAATACCAAAAAAAAGGTAGAATAAATCGTATTCAAATCCCTTGAAAATATATATCATTTCAATCTACTTGAGATTTTCCTACAATAAATACTAAGTTTTTCTTCCTCTACATTAAAGTATCAACCATACCAATGCTGCTGCTGCTGTTGCTGTTACTCCCCATAGTACTAGGTAGTAGTACCAGTGAGTAGCTTATCACAGCGCCAATAATGAAGAGTATTAACCCTCCCCCATTATTATTATTACGATGGATCATTAGGATCCTCTTCATACGTTATCACTTCTCGTGATCGACAAATCTTACCTGAATATGAGTAAGAAATTAGTGGGGCCGCTATGCCACCGTCTGACGGGGCCGCTATGCCACCATCTGGTGGGGCCGTTATGCCACCATCTGGTGGGGCCGTTATGCCACCATCTGGTGAGTCCGCTATAACATCGAGAGGTATGTTTGCGGTAGGAGCAATTGTTGGGGCCGCTATGCCATCACAAGATATATCAATTCCAGCATTAATAATCCGGCCTCTCCCGCTCTGGGGCCGATATGCCATATCATCAAAATCGCAATGCTCCATCATGCCCTTAAGATTCGCCCATGTCCCCGAATAAAGATTCAAAACAGGTCCGAAAGTGACCTACTGAATGTGCAGTTTTGTCCAACAGCAGTTAATTTCTTCTTCTTCAGATCAACTGTGGTATCCTCCATAGCATAACCCTACACAACGCAAATATTTACAAGCCTAAAAAGTTATTCCCGCTACCTGCATTTTGGGTAGCAACTTCTGGACTATATCGGGTATCTGGTAATCCAAGGCGAATATACGACGAACTTGAAGTACCTAACGTGACGAAAACACGGTAATATCTACAGGAGAATTCATATAGGAAGCTCAATGGTTCATTCAAGCCTCAACAAAAACACGATTCTCGCGATTTACGGTACTCCACATAGTACAGGTAAACTCCGCATACGAAATGTCTTGAAATCCGGATGCGGCTAGGCAAATTGACAACGAGTTTTTCACATAGTTAACTCCATTCAACATTCCGCTCCAATGTGGAAAAATATGCACATGGGCAACCAAATATGTTGGTGACAATACGAAAATTCTAAAGAAATTTTCTGGAACATTCACCGGTTTTTGTACACGTTTGCCTCAAGTCGTGTAACAGCTTCTATAATCAGTGAGGGAATGCTACAGCCCAGCTCTGCAGAGCAACAATATATTCCAACACTGTTTCACTCGGACGTGACCAACACTAGCTTACTTGATTATCCTTATCAATATTCCGATACACAGTGTCTAACCGTTTTACGTGAGGCTGATCAGGATTTGGATATTTAGCCCACCAGGCTGAAGTGCCTAAAACAGCACTCTTATCCCCGAGCGACCGTTCATACAACATCGGTACGAATAAAACAAATATAGATACAACATACAACATCACTCATACATGTAAGTGCAATACCAGCAACAGATGGAAGCGTTGATCTGACCTTATATATTGCTATATTCAAATTGGGTATAATGGACTTTCACGACTACCCGTTTTACGTGAAGTGGCGTAAACATCACGCGATTTTTTTGCGGTGATATGCAGTAGTCGTGAGATATGTTTTTCACTAGTGTTTTTCATATCACTAGGGTCAAGAAACTCCATAGTATTATTATATTCTTACCTATATAAATTATTAATAATATTATAGCCATAAAATATATTTATTTCATACCACATTAATTCGAGATTCATCCAAAACATATAAGTGCTACAACATTCACTCCGATGATTCCAATGACGGATATATAATCTTCTTCAGCACTCCCTTATTATTACAAGTTTCCCAGTCATGGTTGAATACATGACGATGCTCAAAGTACTTCATAGCAGCTGGGTGTGACGAACAACAACAATAGAGCAAATGAGGGATAAAGTAACTCTAAAATTAAGCCTAGCAATACCATCACCAACGCAACTGTGATTCTCTAAAGTCGATATGATGCACTCCACTAGTGAGCATTACGAGTGCAGTTATCGCGGCAATGTCCCTTCTTTTCAACCTCATACTTAGCGTAGCAGCGCAGCTCATATGACTTTACTACTAGGGAGTTCTGTTCGAGTACAACTGTGTAATATTCGCATCTATATCGCAACGGTGATAATATGAAATTGATGGAGTTTCACAAGTTTTACGCGATATGGCGTAATACTCTGTGCAAAACGCGCCCTAGTGATATGAAAAATATATTTCACGACTACTGCATATCACTGCGAATAACATCGCGTTCGACGTAAAACGGGTAGTTGCGAAACTCCATTGATCATCGATAAACCACATACGAGTGAGAGTTTGCAACTTAGCTTCATCCCAGCTACGTTAAGGGGGACGCAATACGAGTTGTGTGAAGAATCAATATATAAGGATTATACGGTATATACTACGGCACAAGCAAACAATAACTACGAATATTACTATTATCATCAGTACACTACTAAATGGCAAGTTTCGATCAACCTTCTTATTCAATGTGGATATATAAGAGGTTACATCCAAGAGGTTCCCGGTTCGAATTTGCAACCGTCATTTCTCCGCATTTGATTTAGTGCAACTGCATGTAGTTATCAATTCACGGATTTAGTGCGGCGTTCACTTACTGCGTTTCGTGGATATATTTGCATAATATGCAGCAGAAGCGTTGTTTTCATTATCATTTATGAATAGTTTTTGTGAGTGTTTTCTATTGAGATTATTATTGGAGTTTTACGCGAATACTCTGTGAAAAACCCGATATTCGTATAATTAGTTTTGGATACTACTGAGCTGAGCAGCTGAGGAAAGCGATTCGGTTGTGAATCAGATGGACGAACAATCAAAGGGACGAACATGTTAGCGCACGCCCACACAATCGATAAAGTCCTATGGACGAACATCTCGAATGGACGAACACTGAGTTGGACGAACATTGGCAGAGAAACGCAACAGAAGACGTTCACGCTCAGAAACATCCACATTCATAATAACACACACGAAACTGTGAAGAAACTGTATGATTGACACTTCCAGCCTACAGCTCGATATCCATCCGGCCCTGAAGACGGTTGTTTTTGCCGGGCCTTCCGCGTTTTCGTGGGAATGGCTTTAATCTCTTCTCCTGCAGACAACGAACCGCATGATCCCGCATTTTTTCCTCATCGTAAGTGGCCTTCTCCGGATCGACAGTCGCTCGTTGGAGGGCGTACTCTGTCGCCCACGCCAATGTGAAGAGGCCGCAGTTTGCAGATCCGGGTGTCTGCTGTTGTGTGCGCAAACATACGCACTTTGTACCTTTGCCGAAGATAGCGGTCATCACTTCACGCATAGGTCCAGGAATCGCGTTCATACCCAGTGCGCTATCGAGATATAGCACTAGTCCCTCGTGATTCCTGACAGCGAGGGCAAAATGCTTAGCTCCATAGTCGTATAAGGGTTGGATGATCAAGGGTGCATTGCTGAGGCTAGGAGCTTTCGGAATGCCCTCAAGCTGTGTTTTCATAACCTCTAATGATGCTGGAGTTATCGGAGGAAACTGCAGCAAACATAAGCACCTAGTACACAGTAGGGCCATCCAGGTACCAACAGCCATGTCGGAAATTTCGGTACAAGGTGAAGCTAAGTCGTGACGATCCAGCACAGTGAGACGGAACTCGCCAAGTAGAGTATCATGCACCAACCAGTTAGGCGACGCGGTTGAGGACGATGGCCTACACTCAGGCGATCCATCGAGCTCCTCTGTTGATGCATTGGGTTCCTCCGCCGAACACTGAGAGTTCGGCTTCGGCCGCTGAGGCACCGATCCTTGGGATGCAGCTTCAACCTTACCGGTCGATGCGCTTGGTGATGGTTGGGAACGGTGGTTAGCAGTCTTGTGAAACAAGTCCACGATTGAAGAGGATAGACCAGCATCAGAATATACAGAAGGCTGAGGAGGTTCGTCATCAGGGGACACCGGTGCGCGGGACTCAAGTGTCACATCCTGACTGGTAATATCCACCCGCTGACGCTTCCCCGGGCAGTGCGAAGAATGATCGCCTCCAACTTGAGTGGAGCTGTTCTGGCTAGGCTTCATATCGTCACCGTAGCTGAACTCCTGCTCTGCACTACCATCATCATCATCATCATCATCATCATCATCGTCATCGGAGTTGATGTCGACATCGTCGTTATTGCACTGAGCAGCGTGCTTGACTGCTCCCCTGACGACTCCACGGGCGAGCTTGAACCATTCATGGAGATCAGGTTCGTCAACCGGACGGCCGCAAAGAATTTGCAGCCTGGCGTCAAGCGCAACGTATTCAGGCTTCCGATACCATGCGTCACCGCGATCATACATGACAGCGTCAGCATATACTTCGCTGATGATCCGCCTTACCGCATCCACCCAGACCCACAGGTGGGGACGGGAGGTCTTCGCGAACCTCCGACCCCATCCCATGTGGAACCCTTCCTGTGCGTTATTCGTCCTCCCTCTAGAGGACATAACCCTCGCCCGCAGGTTCAAGACGGCTGGGCCGACCTGCTTCCCCAATCCGTACTTTCGGTGGAGATATCCCGATAGAATATTCCGCTCACGTCGCGGCAAGCCTCCAATAGCAGCCTCGAATGCAACAGCGGTGAGCGAGACGGGCAAGAAAGGAACACAGGCCACAGTGTAGAACGTTTCATACGCTTCTCGCACTTTCGGGTCCTTGTGATCATTACCGTAGCACATGAAAGGGAACACACGACGAAATTTACGGAATACAGCTTGGGTCCAGTGGAAATAGCATACGGTTATAGACGACAACGGAAGCACAGTCCTAATCGCTGATAGTAGGGCGGGCTCCATGTCACTCATAGTACTGGCAACTCGCGAAGGGCCACCGAGTTTCGGAACAACACGCTGTAGGATCTTAGTATAAGTAAGTACACTGCGGTTCGGAGCA